ATATATATATTTTTTTTTTAAAAAGCTGGGGTGTAACAGGTCACAATTTTTTAGCTGCTGTAAACAATCATGACCTGCTTGTTTTTTTGTTTTTGTTTTGTTTTTAATATATTTTTATTGATTTCAGAGAGGAAGGGAGAGGGAGAGAAACATCAACGATGGGAGAGAATCATTGATTAGCTGCCTCCTGCACGCCCCACACTGGGATTGAGCCAGTAACCCAGGCATGTGCCCTGACCAGGAATTGAACCGTGACCTCCTGGTTCATAGGTCGACGCTCAAACACTGAGCCACGCCAGCTAGGCACGCCCTGCTTGTTTTGACAAAGCTCAAGAGAGGCCAGAGAGCAGGTGCTCGCAACCTGTCCCCATCACTTTTTGGAGCCTGTGTGGTGAAAAGGACCAGATCCTTTCACAGGGCAGCTTCAAGGTCCAGTGGAGAGAAGGAACCACAGAAGAGCAGAAAATCACGGCACAGATGCTGAGCCACCGGTAGGCCTCAATAGATCCACCCACGGGCATCTAAAACCCTGCTGCCTCATTCATTCCCTGGTCCCTTAATCCCTTTCGGGGTGTGCACCATTGTCAGACCCTGAGCTAAATAGTGGAGTCACTAAGGGGAGCAAGAGAGCAGCAAAGTCCTTGCATTCTTAGAGTTACAGTCCCTGGAGGAGACAGGCACCAGCTTAAGACACACACCGACTCCTAGTGTCTACATATCTGAAATGGGTTAATATTAAAGAATATTTATTCCACAAGGCATGACAAACATGAAATGAGTCAATCTCGATAAAGCTTTTGGATTAATACAAATCAATGAAAATGTGACCACGATGACTATTACTATCCTTACTACTAATGAACGGCTCTACCAGGTACTAGCTGTGTGACCTTGGACAATTGTACATAACTTTCTCATGTTCCGGGTTTCCCATCTGTGAAATGGGATGACAATAATTCCTAAAGAAAAAGATGAAATGCGTTAATAATATGTAGAAAGTGTTTGGAACAATGCCTGGCACACAGTAAGAGTGTGATAAATGTTAGTTGCTAGTGGTGATAATTATTTTGCCAGAATCTTAAGACATCACGTCAGCTCATAATATGCTTACAATCTAGCCTAGGACTTCTCAACAGAGGCACTGTTGATGCTTTGGACTGGGTTAAGTCTTTGTTGTGGGAGCCGTCCTGTGAATCGCAGGGCGTTTAGTGGAATCCCAGGCCTCTACCCACTGAACGTGAAGAGCATCCACCCTCAAGCATGACAATACAAATGTCTCCAGACATTGCTTAATGTGCCCCCCGGAGGGTGGAGGTGGAGCAAAATGCCTCCACAGAGAACTATGGGTCTAGCTGGAAATTATAACGTATCCACTGGAAGAGAGACAATGCAGAGCTGGAATCTGCGGTCAGTCCTAGGGAAAGGAACAACAGTGAGCCAATAAGGGGAGTCCCTCAACAGAGAGCCAGGGGAGGCTGCTTAGAAGACAAGGCCATAAATGGTATTCATGACGATTCTGAATCTATGGCCCTTTTGCTAAACATAAACATTACTTTATTGAGATCTGACATTTCAAAGCAAGTGAAACATCACTAAACCTAAATTAAAGCAGCTATAATATACTGAATATAATTTTCCATTACATATCGTTCCCTCCTCTCACCAAAATTCTGATACAGTTTCTTGGCTAAATTTCACCCCACACTGATTTAGAGAAGCTGGGTGGGGGAGCGAAGGGAGCAGGAAAGGGAACCTTTTGGGTCACTCCTAGAGAACTCTGGAGCAACGCCCAACTGACATCTGTGGAGATGACTCCAAATTTTAACCAAGAGGCAGCATATGAGTCTGCTTTCACGAGGGGCAATGTCTTGCCCACCCTGATCCCCAGATGCCGTACCCCATACCATCCCCGTGATTGGAACCATCTGACCCTCATCTTTAACTTGGACATCCTCAGTGTCTAGGATCCAACTTGACCTGAGGTTGTCTTGGACTCAACAGCATCATCACTTGACCCTAATACAGCGCTTCATCCCAGTACTTGACAGAGGTGAGGAGATTAAGAAGTACAAATTGGCAGTTAGAATACAGTCATGGAATGTAAAGTACAGCTTAAGGAATATAGTGAATAATATCGTAATAACTACATATGGTGTCAGGTGGGTACTAACTAGACTTATCGAGTTGATCACTTTGTAAGTTGTATAATGTCTGATCACTACGTTGTGCACCTCAAACTAATATAATATTTTTATGTCAACTGTAACTGAAAAATAAAATAAATGGGAGAAAAGGGGATTTAGAACCACAGCTGTAGTAGACAGAATAATGGCCCCTCAAAGATGTCCATGTCTTAATTTCCAGGACCTGTGATCATGTCGTCTCACATAGCACCATGGATTTTGCAGATGTGACTAAGTTAAGGATCCTAAAATGGGGGACGAGTATCCTGGATTATCCAGTTGGGCTCAACGTCATCACAAGGGGACTTGTAAGTGAAGGAGGTGAGTCAGAGTCGGAGAGAGAGGAGATGCTGCTGGTTGAGAAGATGGAGAAAGAAAGGGGCCCCAAGCAAAGCAGTGCTGACAGCCTCCAGAAAAGGGTGGAAAAGGCGAGACTGGATCCTCCCCAAGAGCCGCCAGCAAGACACACAGCCCTGGTGAGATACTGACTTAAGTGCAGCGAGTCCCATGTCAGACTTCTAACCTACAGGACTGTACGATTATAAATGTG